AACTCAGACTATCGAGACCACTCTGCCCCTTTATTCTCAAACTAGGAATTTTAGATATTTTCCAAGTCAATACGTTTGAAATCGCCAAATTTATGTTTTATTTCAAAAATAACTTATTGCCCCCATTGCTTCCCGATCTTTTTGTAATTAATAGCCAAATTCACAACTATGGTACCAGAACAGCCAGTAATTATCGAACGCATTTGTGCCGTACAAATGTCAAGCAGTTTACAATTCTCTACCAAGGTCCTAAAATTTGGAAATCTCTCCCTACTTCAGTCACTCGTTCGTCAAACTTTCCCAGCTTTAAAACGAAATTGCAAGAGTTTTTACTTAAATAATCACTGAATTGGCCAAGCCGCACATTCGCAGCACTTTTTCTTTACTTAATTTGTTATTCAAGTGAGGTGGCTCTCCCATAAGCCTAGTGGCTTCTTGGGTCTCCTCGCCCGTCTAACTGTTAAATTGCGCTCATCAGGTTACACTACACCAAAATACACCAATCTCTACGCTAACATATATATATATATATTTTTTGTTTTTGAAAAAAATAACTCAATAATGGTCCGTCCCTTAAAAGTTTATTTTGATTAGCAGAGTTAAAGAACACCTCGAAGCATGCTGATCTCATTATCCGCATCTTAGCTTCTCTTTTAACTGAATCTTATTTTTATCGTTTTAAGGTGGAGAATTAAGACAGCCAGGTTTCGGCTTTTAAAGCTAAAAACTAAGATTGAAAGTAATGCCACCTCTCGGCAACTGAAATATGGTATTTCACCTGACATTTTCCCAGTCTCTACCAATTCGTTTTTCATAATCTCAAACGAATGCTGTAATCTGATCAGCTAAGTTACTCGGTTTATACTCTTTGATAGCTAGTGCGATCACACCTATTAGGATATTTCTGCAAGGAAAACTTGTTTAAAATCGCGCACAAACCTGAGATGATTGTGATGTTTGCTGCTTTCTGCTGTCTTTCATAGTATCACGGCAAGAACTGAAAACATTATGTGCGAGTGGCTATAAGGCTGAAATCACAAAAGGAGAGAACTCAACTCTGTATCGAGTGCGAATATCAACCTACGAAGACACTCCGAAAAAAAACAATAAGTAGCTCTGGGAAACATTGAGTCGAAATTGGGTTAAGATCAGAATTTTATTGTTACAACTCACTCACTCACTCATCTCGACATAAGATGTGGCTTCGCCCCCTGAATGAGGCAGTAGCCACAAAAATAAAACAGAACAAGTGAAAATCAAAAAGAAAAGGAAACAGAGTACTTCGGCTCTAACAAAACAAAATCACAAAAAATAAAAACAAACTGAGCACTTGATACTAAATGAACGTAACTTTCAGACTGATAAGAGAAAGAACGGTTAGCAAGACCAAAACTACAGATATTATGTGAAGAGACTAAGTTTATAGTCTGTGGTAACGATTTAAAACAAAGAACACAACAAAGGTGTCATTACGCAATAGAGCCCGCGTGTTGCGTGGCGAGTGCTTTCGAGAATAATTGTCACAACTCTTCGTTGGTTGACACGAAAAACATCTCAGCTGTGGTTACAAGCACTCAGAAACTTTTGTCCTCATGTCTGTCATCCGCTGCCATACGATAGAAGAAAGATGTATTTGTTTGACTCGGTCGTGTCACTTTTCTAGTCAAAAATGACTTATCAAATGAAACTCACAAGTAAACAAGCTCAAGGAAGCCTTGCTGTATACCATTAACTCGACCTCTTTCTCTACTGGGTAGTAAATAGGTATTGTTTTTCTTCTTCGAGTAATGGAAAACTAAATATACTTTACTTGGGCGAGATGGAAAGTGTTTTTAGCCTTCAAGAGAATATCAATTTTTTCTGCTGACAGAGGTAGAAAATTTGTTGGTATCAAATTTGAAGAATAAAAGGCTCATTTTCATCAAAGGAACCCGGCTACCTAGTAAGTAGGATACTTCCTGGACAGTAATAATAATTAATATAGGTTCTCATTTTAAAAGAAGGAAAATTTTAATTTCTGACCTACAACTGACCTATGAAAGCAAAACCACTTGCTCTTGA